AGTATCGCATCATCACTTGAAAACACTGGTCATTATTGGGCTGGAATCTCGCCATATCAATTCTTTCACCTAACCAATGCAAAATATTGATACGAAACACAAATATCCCGCACATAGGAGAGAGAAGCATATGACTACGTTTCGGTCGTACTTGGACATTTACACTTCACACAGTGTGATTTGTAAATGGTCAAAGTCGGACTGAAACGTCTTCATAAGTTCCTCTCTCCTATGTGCGGGTTATTTGTGTATTGTTCCAGTCATGGTATTGTGCCTTTTATACTTCATGTTGATACAGACTTAAGATATGGTCTGCCATTTCCCGTACAGTTTGCAAGGAGGTGTCCTAGAAGAGTTGGATGTTTAGATAATTTGGATTCTAAGATAATGTACACCCCTGTCTCCGTCCACAACTGACATCCCTCTATCCATCCATCCTGTGTGATGGGATATTATGGGAAACAGGGATATGACACGCCTACACTACAGTTAAAAGACTGCAACATATCTCCACTCTTCCTTCAGAGTGGGTATGAAATATCAAGAAATACTGACTTTTGTAATAGTGGTAACAATTAAAACGGTTTTTGGCAAAAAAGTCTTCCAGAGTGACCCAAAGCTACTGTAGAAGACAGCATCTGGCAGAGAGGATAAGTTCCAAAAGGCTTGAGTGAGTAGACAAAATCAGCCACCCTGGATAAAAGTGGATAAGGTGTGATGGATCTTCGGTGAGAGAGGGACGGGGAATAAGGAATAAGGGATCCTAGGATATTAAAGGGAGGGGAGATTGTAGAGGGATGTAAAGGACTGGATTATCAGGCCTGGTGAACTGACAAGCGTTGAATAAACACCAGGGGTGACACTGGGGGGAAGATAAATTACATCTCGCCTACCCTAGGCCAGTGTATCACTGAAGAGCCTTCTCCTTGTTACTGGAATCATCAGGGCGAGGGGGGGGGATAATCAACCGACACGGGTTGAAAACATAAGGAGGAACTCTGCTGCAAGCCTAGTGGCCCATACTAGGCACGTCCTTAGTAAGTTTATTCACTTACAGGTACACATAAACACTGTTACACAAATTTTCATACATAGTGACATATGTGTAAATTGCCTAGGATAACCCCCCAAAAAGTCAGACTTACTTTCATTGGCGTCCTCATATATAAGCCACTTCATCAGTTTTATTTTCTGCCCTGGGAAACATAAACCCAGGTAGAGACATAAACAAGGAAGAATGATTTTATGCTTAGAGATGAAGAAAAATAATTAGGCGTAATAAAATAAGCGAGTAAGATGTAGAGAAATTAAACTGTATTGACGACAAATTGGAAGGATGAGGGGCAAGAGGAGGAGAAGGAGAAGGAGAAGTTAAAAGTGAGAAAGAAGAGGATAAGAAAAAAGAGGATGGGGAGCAAGAGGAGGAGGAGAATAAGGAAAAGAACTGAAGGAAGCGGATAATGATAAGAAAAAAGACGAGAAAAAGAATAAGAAAAAGAAGAGGAGGAGGAGGAGGAAAGAGAAATAGAGTAGAAGAAGAAGAAAAAGTAGAAGGCGAATAATAATAATAAGATGAATAATAATAATAATAATAATAATAATAATAATAATAATAATAATAATAATAATAATAATATCTTTATATCTACAAGTACATGTACAAGGTATACAGACCACAGCTGACATCAATGACATACTACTATATAGAAAGCCCCTTGTTATGCAGAGCATTTGCCGCAAATTAGGTCAGTTTTGTCCCAGGATACGACCCACACCAGTCGACTAACACCCAGGTATCCATTTTATACTGACTGGTGAACATAGACAACCGGTGTAAAGAAACACTCCAAATGTTTCTACCCCCGGTGGGAATCGAACCCGGACAGTCGCCGAGTGAAGCGAGAGTTTTAGTCACCAGGCCACGGGTAACCGTTAAGAAGACCATAGCAGTACATAACTAAAGCGTTATCAAACCATCTCAAGACGCTATATGAAAGAAGCGACTTTAAACTCTCTCGAAAAAAATATATACTTGAATGTAAATTTCGACCAGAGACTATCGTAACATGCAAATTCCTTGGGTCATATCAACTGATCGCTGTGTTTACGTTGGAGCGACCGACCACCTATCCTCACCTAGCCTCCCAGTAGCCATATTTAAACCCACTCGAGCTATGCCACTTCCACTCTTAGCGCCCCCGCCCACAAGGTTAAGATTCCCCAGCACACAGTGGTGGAGGGACGGAGTGTGACTGGAGTTTGTGTGTATCGAAGCAGCTGATGTCTCCTCGTCAGCCTCTCCCAAGACCACTCCCGAGATGAAAACTTTGCGTACGGATGTTCAGGGGAAAAGCTGGGATTAGTGTTTACTTTCGTGTTCTTACGATACCCTCCTCTGATCTCTCAAACACCTCTTCAACGACACCAGTGGAAATAAGTCACTCTGACCTTTTTTTTTTTAGGGTTATCCTACTATACATGATACTCTACTTGTGTGTACTTATGCCTAAATAAACTTATTTATTCCCTCCCTTTCAAAACTCCTTTCCCTCCCCTTCAAAACCTTCTCCCTTCTCCTTCAAATTCCATTTCAAAAATCTCTTCCCACCCCTTTCAAAATTTTCTCCCATCCCCATCAAAACTCTCTCCTCCCCCTCCTCGCAAAATCCTCTTCCCTTCGAGCCCTCTTCCCTTCGCTCCAATAATCTCTTTCTCTCAGCTTTAAGGAGGTGCCAGTGTTTACAAGTATCCCTGACAGCGGTACAAAAGTGGCACAGAAAGCGGAAAGTTCTAACATATCGCCCACGGTGGCACACATTTCGCCCAGCTCGCCTCGGAACGCAGCCATCAGGTGGCCTCATAACAAGGAACATGCGCAACAGACAAGACAAATTACAGATACCAATCCCAGTGTACTCCTGTACATTGGAATTTGAATCTGTACTTCTCCTGGAGTACAGATATAGCTTTTGGTTACATATATTCCACTATAAGCTCTTCAGTGCTAAATTCCAAGAAGAATTTTCTATGTTCATGTCTTCTTCTTCTTCTTCTTCTTCCTCTTCTTCTTCTTCTTCTTCTTCTTCTTCTTCCTCTTCTTCTTCTTCTTCTTCTTCTTCTTCTTCTCCTCCTCCTTCTTCTTCCTTTTCTTTTATTCTTTTCTCGATGTTTTTTTTGTGCACAGCCAAAAACAAAAAACGTTTTCTCTGTCAAAAAAAATCTCCATAGGTAATTTAGAACCGGTTACAATCTTCTTTATTTATTTCAAACTTTTTTTTGTATGAGTGTTTCTTATTTTAACTTTTTCGTCTCCTCATAGATTTTGTTAACCTTAACTGAGATATTCTGAGCTAGCCGCACCTGTTGTTTTAGTTATCTTTAGCCTTGGTATACCAGGACAACTGTTTACTGGTGTGTGTGTGTGTGTGTGTGTGTGTGTGTGTGTGTGTGTGTGTGTGTGTGTGTGTGTGTGTGTGTGTGTGTGTGTGTGTGTGCCTGTGTATGTGTGAGTGTGCTCCTGCTCGCCATTTTCCCGTCCCTTCTGAAGCTTTCGGCAAATCCCAGTTTTTATACTACTGCTTGCACGCAGCTCAAGTCAAATATATATATATATATATATATATATATATATATATATATATATATATATATATATATATATATATATATATATATATATATATATAAAGATCTATAGTCATCAGAGAACCTGTCAGCGTCTTTTTCACAGAATCATAAAAATATTGACTAGTGTTTCTTATTCCCTGACATGCCTTGTGGAATCTTTATTTAAATGTTTGATATATTTTGGGGGTAGTGCTATGTTTGACAGTGGAGGTGTTAGTGATGTTGATAATGTTGTGATCGGTGTTAGTGGTGTTGGGGTAGTGTTATGTTGGGTGGTTGAGGTGTTCGTGTTATTGGTGGTAATGATATGATCGTTGTTGGAAGCAGAGTTATGTGGGTGTTTGGGAGTGTTAGTCAAATTGGTGATGCTTATGATGAGTGTTGTTGGTTCTGGTGATGGTGGTGTGTTGCTGGAGGCGGTGTTATATGGGGTGTTGGATGCATCAGTGGTGTTGGTGGTGACATTTAATGGGTATCATATAAATCAAGGTAAACAAAACCAACAAGTTGACGAATAAGACACCTGTGCCATACCTGACTATCTTCTGTCATATTCACTTCAACAGAAGAAGCCTGTCGTGCAGGCAAAACGTTTCAGTAATAAGGATACCCAAGTATTGCACAAGTGTCTTATTCATCATGTTTAACAGGTGATGTATCGAACGCATATCACCTTCCAGGTCTCTCGTGTTTTACTACCTGCCATGTTATTGGTTTATGGTCTGTTGCTGTTTTCCTCGACTTCTGATCTATACCTCCGGTGCCTCTGGCTGCAATATTGACTCTGCTGGTTTCTGAGACGAATGATAACTTAACCGCTAACAGTATTCTTGGTTTCATTCACATCGTTCTCAAAATGGAGTAGTTCCAGAAGAATTTAAGTGGTTATAGGCCCTTTAAGTCCAGCATTTGCACGGGTCATTTATTCAACTTCTCTATCTCTCTCTTTCGCCCTCTGTTTCCTCAATTTTTTTCATTTTCTTATCTTTCCCTACGCTCTTATCTCTCTCACCAATCTTCTTTCTCTCATTCCTTCCTTCCTTCCTTCATTATCTCATATTCCATATTTTATCTACTTATCCATCCCTCCAGCCATCAGCTCTCTCTCTTACTATATTTTTCCTTCCCTCTCTCACCCTCTTATTTCTCTATCCCTTCTTTTCCTCCACTCCCTGTGTGCCAGTCTTGAAGAGCGTTGTGGATGACAGGAAGCTGATATACTGAACAAGAGTAGCTACTCTCTCTAATGATGGCGCCTCGCTTACTCTCTCTCTCTCTCTCTCTCTCTCTCTCTCTCTCTCTCTCTCTTCTCTCTCTCTCTCTCTCTCTCTCTCTCTCTCTCTCTCTCTCACCTCTCTCCTCCTCCTCTCCAGGACACGGAGGTGCGGCAGGACAAGATGGCGCGAGTGCTGATCAGCGGCAATGATTTAGTACTCAACCGCGTGCGGCGGACGCAAGCGGGAGAGTACTCCTGTAAGGCGACCAACTCTGAGGGCACAGGTACCAGCCCTCCTGTCAACATCACCGTCCTCTGTGAGTACCTTTGGTGACGTTTATGGGCTGTGACAGCTCTCTCTAAATCTTTCAGTGCATTATGTGACATTCTTTGGGGGGTGACAGCTCTCTGTGGGTCTGTGAGTTATTTACGGGATTTCTTAAATCACTCTCGCTACTTCGTCTCTCTAAAACTATCCTGTGAAGGCTGGCTCGATGGTAACATGAAACTGAATCGTCCAAAACTCTCCTTTGATACTAAATTCCGAGGGTAACACAGAATTAAATAGAGTTCTGCTCACGGTAGTAAAAGATAGACATTTAACATGCTTCTGTTGGGTCTTATTAAAGGAGAACACAGGAGCGAAACGTTTCTCTGGTAATGCGTGTTCTCTGTTCTAACGTGTTCATACCTGATGGTGTTGCCATCTGATCCTGTTCGTTCTGTCTGGTACCTCTGGTATCACTGTCTGGTACCTCTGGTACCACTGTCTGGTACCACTGGCATCACTACCTGGTACCACTGCCTGGTACCACTGTCTGGTACCACTGTCTGGTACTACTGGTACCACTGCCTGTTACCATTGCCTGGTACCACTGTTTGGTACCACTTTTACCACTGCCTGGTACCACTGTTTGGTACCTATGTCTGGAATCATTGTCTTGTACCTCTGTCTGGTACCACAGTCTGGTACCACTGTCTGGTACCACTGTCTGATACCACTGCCTGGTACCACTGTCTGGTAACTCTGTCTGGAACCATGGTCTGGTACCTCTGGTACCACTGTCTGGTACCTTTGTCTGGTACCACTATCTGGTTCCTGTGTCTGGTACCTTTGTTTGGAACCTCTCTCTGCTAACATTGTCTGGTACCTTCGTCTGGTACCACTGTCTGGTACTATTGTCTGGTATCCTGTCTGGTACTATTGTCTGGTACTACTGTCTGGTGCTACTGTGTTGTACCACTGTCTGGTACCTCTGTGTGGTACCACTGTCTGGTACCTCTGGTACCACTGTCTGGTACTTCTGTCTAGTACCATTGTCTGGCACCTCTGTTTGGTACCTCTGGTATCTCTGTTACCTCTGGTACAACTGCCTCGTACCTCTGTCTGGTATCTTTGTCTGGTACCTCTGTCTGGTACCACTGTCTTTTACTTCTGTCTGGTACCTCTGATACCTCTGTCTGGTACCTTTGTCCGTTACCTCTGGTACCTCTGTTTGGTATCTCTAGTACCTCTGTCTGGTACCTTTGTCCGTTACCTCTGGTACCTCTGTTTGGTATCTCTAGTACCTCTGTCTGGTACCTTTGTCCGTTACCTCTGGTACCTCTGTTTGGTATCTCTAGTACCTCTGTCTGGTACCTTTGTCCGTTACCTCTGGTACCTCTGTTTGGTATCTCTAGTACCTCTGTCTGGTACCTTTGTCTGGTACCTTTGTTAGTACCTCCCTATTGATAGTTGGTTTTGTTGATTAATGTGGTCTTATTTCCTCACTGCTGTTCTCTTCTTTGGTTTTATTAATAATGATATTTGTGACGTGTTCATGTCTGGAATAGCTGTAATATATTCATGTCTGGATCAGTTGTGATACATTCATCTCTGGATAAGTTGTGACATGTTCATGTCTGGAATAGCTGTAATATATTCATGTCTGGATCAGTTGTGACATGTTCATGTCTGGATCAATTAGATGTTCATGTCTGGATCAGTTGTGATACGTTCATCTCTGGATAAGTTGTGACATGTTCATGTCTGGATCAGTTGTGACATGTTCATGTCTGGATCAATTAGATGTTCATGTCTGGATCAGTTGTGATACGTTCATCTCTGGATAAGTTGTGATATGTTCATGTCCGGATAAGTTGTGACATGTTCATGTCTGGATAAGTTGTGACATGTTCATGTCTGGATCAGTTGTGACATGTTCATGTCTGGATCAGTTGTGACATGTTCATGTCTGGATCAGTTGTGACATGTTCATGTCTGGATCAGTTGTGATATGTTCATGTCTGGATCAGTTGTGACATGTTCATGTCTGGATCAGTTGTGACATGTTCATGTTTGGATCAGTTGTGACATGTTCATGTCTGGATCAGTTGTGACATGTTCATGTCTGGATCAGTTGTGACATGTTCATGTCTGGATCAGTTGTGACATGTTCATGTCTGGATCAGTTGTGACATGTTCATGTCTGGATCAGTTGTGACATGTTCATGTCTGGATCAGTTGTGACATGTTCAAGATTTGTTATGATATTAACTAACTATTTTGAGTTACTTTTATCTCCATTAGATGATATTAATATTGACCTATTTTTCCTATTTTCCTCTACCTCCTCATCCCTTCTTCTTTCACATCTCCATCCTTATCCTACATATTTCCTCTTCTTCCTCCTCCTCCTCCTCCTTCCTCCTCCTCCTTCTTCTTCTTCTCCTCCTCCTCTCGTCCTCCTCCATTTCTTCCCCCTTCTGTTTGTCATTCTTGCCTTCTTTGAAATTCTCTCTTTCTTTCACCCAACTCTCACCTTCGTGTTCTATCTTCGTCCTCTATTGTTCAACGTCTCTTCTCTTTCTACTCCCCATCTCCGTCTTCCATCGTTCTATTCTATTTATCTTTCCTCTTTTTCCACGTTCTGTCTTTCCTGTCGTCTGATTCCCGTGTTTATATTCTGATCTATTACCTGTAATCGCATTTTCCTCTATCTTCTTTGCTTTCACTTCATCCCCATCTTCTCTCTTCTATCCTCATCTCCCATTCTCTGCCCTAACATTTTTTGTCTATTATTTTCCATTTCACTCCATCCTTATCTACTCTCATATCCTCATCTACTCTTCCCTACAATCGCTTTTCCCCATTCTCTTACATGTCGCCTCATCCTCATCTTCTCTCCTATCTTCCTGCATTTATTCCCCATCTTTCCTTTCTCTCAATCTATTTCCAGACGCACCTGTGTGTGGGCTAGCCAAGGATGTGTGGGCTGAGCCAGGGTCAATGGTGACCGCCCAGTGTCGAGTGCACGCCTCTCCCCTCACGCCCATCCACTTCTCCTGGGTATGGGTCACGCCTTCTTACTCCAGGAGGGTAGTGCCCTCCCATGTGAACTCCGTCGGGGCGTTCTCCAGCGTCAATTTCACCGTTCCCAGAGATAATGTAACGGAGGTGGGACCCAATAACCAGCTTGGATCACTGCAGTGCTGGGCAGAGAACACCGTGGGCAGGCAGGGCAAGCCCTGCGTGGTCTCCGTCAGGAAGCCCGGTGAGTGTCAGGAAGCCTGATGAGTGTCAGAAAAAACGGTGGGTGTTAGGAAGCCTTGTGAGCATCAGGAAGCCTGGTGAGTGTCAGGAAGCCTTGTGAGTGTCAGGAAGAATGGTAGGTGTCAGGAAGCCGTGTAAGTGTCAGGAAGCTTGGAGCGTGTCAGGAATCCTGGAGGGTGTCAGGAAGCCTTGCGAGTGTCAGGAAGCCTCGTGAGTGTCAGGAAGAATGGTGGGTGTCAGGAAGCCTTGTGAGTGACAGGAAACCTGGTGAGTGTCAAGAAGCCTGGTGAGTGTCAGGAAGCCTGATGAGAATCAGGAAGCCTGGTGAGTGTCAGAAAGCTTAGTGAGTGTCAGGAAGCCTGGTGAGTGTCAGAAAGCCTGGTGTCAGAAAGCCTTGTGAGACTCAGGAAGCTAGTGAATGTTAGGAAGCCTAGTGAGTGTCAGAAAACTTGGTGAGTGTCAGGAAGCCTGGTGGGTGTCAGGAAGCCTGGTGACTATCAGGAAGCCTGGTCAGGAAGCAATTGCATCCTAGAAACGTTTTCTCTAATGTTCTCTCTCTCTCATTTCTTCTTACTTCTCTCTCTCTTTGTCTTCCTCTCTCCCAGATTACTTTCCTTCCTCACCACCTTGGTACCTCCTCCCTTCCTCCTTCCTTACCTCTCTGTTTCCCTCCTTCATCGCCTCCCTCACTCCCTAGCCTTCAATCCTCCTTACTAATTCCTCACAATATCCTCCAACGCCAACCTCCTCCTCCTCATCCTCCTCCTCCTCCTCCTCCTCCTCCTCCTCCTCCTCCTCCTCCTCCTTCTCCCCCTTCTCTCCTCTTCTACTCCTCCTCCTCCCTGTTGCAACACTGCCTCACCACTTTATTTTTTTTAATTTGAAAGTTAGCATGAGGAAGAGGTATTCCATTAGTCATCCTCTCTCTCTCTCTCTCTCTCTCTCTCAGACACACACACACACACACACACACACACACACACACACACCACACACACACACACACACACACACAAGTCCACTCTGAAGAACTTAAAAGGAATTCTAAAAAATTCTTTTGTTCAAGTATCAGCTTGTTCGTGTGTACCCAGAGGTGGGGAGGAGAGGTGGGGAGGAGAGGCGGGGAGAGAGGGGGAGAGGTGGGAGGAGGGTGGGGAGGAGAGGTGGGGAGGAGAGGTGGGAGGAGAGGTGGGGAGGAGAGGTGAGGAGGAGGGTGGGCAGGAGAGGTGGGGAGGAGAGGTGGGGAGGAGAGATGGGGAGGAGGGGTGGGGAGGAGGGGTGGGGAGGAGAGGTGGGAGGAGAGGTGGGGAGGAGAGGTGGGGGGAGGAGAGGTGGGGAGGAGAGGTGGGGGGAGAGGTTGGGGAGGAGAGGTGGGGAGGAGAGGTGGGGAGGAGGGGTGGGGAGGGAGGTGGAAGGAGAGGTGGGGAGGAGAGGTGGGGAGGAGAGGTGGGGAGGAGGGGTGGGGAGGAGAGGTGGGGAGGAGAGGTGGGAGAGGAGAGGTGGGCTCGGAGAGGTGGGGAAGGAAAAAGGGTGGGGGAGGAGATGGTGGGGGATGGGGAGGAGGGGGGAGGGGGTGGGGAGGAGAGGTGGGGAGGAGAGGTGGGGAGGAGAGGTGAGAGGAGGGTGGGGAGGAGAGGGGAGGGAGGTGGGGAGGAGAGGGGAGGGAGGGTGGGAGAGAGGTGGGGGAGGGTGGGGAGGAGAGTGGGAGGAGAGGTGGGAGGAGGTGGGGCGGAGAGGTGGGGAGAGGTGGGAGGAGAGGTGGGGAGGAGAGGTGGGCGGAGAGGTGGGGAGGTGGGGGAGAGGTGGGGAGGGAGGTGGGAGGAGAGTGGGGAGAGGGGGGGAGAGGGTGGGGAGGGGGTGGGGGGGGGGTGGAGGAGGGGTGGGGGAGGGGGAGGCAGGGGGAAGGAGGGGGGAGAGGGGGGGGGAGGTGAGGAGGAGGTGGGCAGGAGGTGGGGGGAGAGGTGGGGAGAAATGGGAGGAGAGGTGGAGAGGGGTGGGGGAGGTGGGGGGAGAGGTGGGGGGAGGGGGGAGGAGAGTGGGGAGGAGAGGTGGGGAGAGGTGGGGAGGAGAGGTGGGAGGACGGTGGGAGGGGGGTGGGGAGGAGAGGTGGGGAGGACGTGGTGGGGAGGAGGGTGGGGGGAGGAGGGGTGGGAGGAGGAGTGGGGAGGAGAGGTGGGGAGCAGAGGAGGGGAGGAGGGATTGGGGAGGAGAGGTGGGGAGAGAGGTGGGGAGCAGAGGTTGGGGAGACGGTGGGGAGGATGGGGTGTGGAGGATGTTGTGTAGATGTGGGGGAGTAGGTGGGTGGAGAGGTGGGGAGGTGGGCTGGGGGAGAGGTGGGGAGGAGGGTTGGGCTGAGCTGTTGGGGGGGGGTGCGGAGGGGTGCGAAGGATGGGGCGGTGGAGGAGACGCAGGAAAGGACGAGGCGAGAATCCTGGCGATCAGCCGGATATAGGAGTTGGAGTAGAACGAAAGGTGAAGCACATGGTACCTAAATGGGGAAGGAGAGAAGCGAGGTAGCATAGGGACAGGGAACGACGCAGTTAACGTAGGGAGGCCCCTCATTGCATCTCGAGAGGACAGCACACGACACGTAATGCGGCCGTGTGCAAAAAGAGGAAGGCAGGAATGCCTGAGAAAGGATAGGAAAACAGTGAAAAGCAAGAGATACGCAGAAAAAATTGAAGAGATAGGGCTGGAAACATTAAGACGTGTTCATTAAGACCTGCTGTCCATGTCACCTTAGCGTAAAAAGGTACCTGGGTTAGTCGACTGCGGGGTTGCATCCTGGGGACAAAACTGACCTAATTTGCCGAAATACTCAGCCAACAAGAAGTTTCTATATAGTACGTATAAATCAGCTATGTCTATAGTAGAATCAAAAGACTTGTAGAATAAAAAATGTAAAGGGTTCATAGCAACCTTAAAGGCTAACTTTCAACATATCACTTACAAACTATCATTAACCTGATAAGTGCAAAATGGCAAAGATGAAACCTATTTTCAAAACAGGTGACAGGTCCTTAGCTTCGAACTATAGACCAATAAGCCTAACCTCCATAGTGGGAAAATTTATGGAATCAATAATTGCCGAGGCAGTTCGTAGCCACCTTGAAAAGCATAAATTAATCAACGAATCTCAGCATGGTTTTACAAAGGGGCGTTCCTGCCTTACGAATTTATTAAAATTTTTTCACTAAGGTATTTGAGGAGGTAGATCATGGTAATGAATATGATATTGTGTATATGGACTTCAGTAAGGCTTTTGACAGGGTCCCACATCAGAGACTATTGAGGAAAATTAAAGCACATGGAATAGGAGGAGAAATTTTTTCCTGGATAGAGGCATGGTTGACAAATAGGCAGCAGAGAGTTTGCATAAATGGGGAGAAATCAGAGTGGGGAAGCGTCACGAGCGGTGTTCCACAAGGGGTCAGTGTTGGTCCCCCTGCTGTTCACAATCTACATAAACGACATAGATGAGGGCATAAAGAGCGACATCGGCAAGTTTGCCGATGACACCAAAATAGGCCGTCGAATTCATTCTGACGAGGACATTCAGCACTCCAGGAAGATTTGAATAGACTGATGCAGTGGTCGGAGAAGTGGCAGATGCAGTTTAATATAGACAAATGCAAAGTTCTAAATGTTGGACAGGACAATAACCATGCCACATTATAAATAAATAATGTAGATCTTAATATTACGGATTGCGAAAAAGATTTAGGAGTTCTGGTTAGCAGTAATCTGAAACCAAGACAACAGTGCATAAGTGTTCGCAATAAAGCTAATAGAATCCTTGGCTTCATATCAAGAAGCATAAATAATAGGAGTCCTCAGGTTGTTCTTCAACTCTATACATCCTTGGTTAGGCCTCATTTAGATTATGCTGCACAGTTTTGGTCACCGTATTACAGAATGGATATAAATTCTCTGGAAAATGTACAAAGGAGGATGACAAAGTTGATCCCATGTATCAGAAACCTTCCCTATGAGGATAGACTAAGGGCCCTGAAACTGCACTCTCTAGAAAGACGTAGAATTAGGGGGGATATGATTGAGGTGTATAAATGGAAGACAGGAATAAATAAAGGGGATGTAAATAGTGTGCTGAAAATATCTAGCCTAGACAGGACTCGCAGCAATGGTTTTTAAGTTGGAAAAATTCAGATTCAGGAAGGATATAGGAAAGTACTGGTTTGGTAATAGAGTTGTGGATGAGTGGAACAAAACTCCCAAATACCGTTATAGAGGCCAGAACGTTGTGTAGCTTTAAAAATAGGTTGGATAAATACATGAGTAGATGTGGGTGGGTGTGAGTTAGACCTGATAGCTTGTGCTACCAGGTCGGTTGCCGTGTTCCTCCCTTAAGTCAATGTGACCTGACCTGACTAGGTTGGGTGCATTGGCTTAAGCCGGTAGGAGACTTGGACCTGCCTCACATGGGCCATTAGGCCTTCTGCAGTGTTCCATCGTTCTTATGTTCTTATAATAATAATAATAATGATAATAATAATAATAATAATAATAATAATAATAATAATAAATATATAAATTAATATATTATTATTATTATTATTATAATAAATTTTATTATAATTATTATTAATATCAATTATAATATTATTATTATTGTTATTGTTATTATTATTATTATTACTATTATTATTATTATACATAACGGGAGAGAAACTGGGAGCGAGAACATAAGGTAGAGGACTGAAGAATGACGAGATGAAGCGAAAAACGAAAGTAAAGCGAAGAGGAAAAAAATAGAGGGAAGGAAAGAGGGAGAAAGACGAAAAAAGGAAACGCAGAAAGGAAAGGAATGAGGAAGAATTGTAGATAGAGACAAAAAAGGAAAACATTGGAAGCGAGAGATAGACTGACATACAAACAGGCGGAGAGAGAGAGAGGGAGAGAGAGAGAGAGAGAGAGAGAGAGAGAGAGAGAGAGAGAGAGAGAGAGAGAGACAGACAGACAGACAGACAGACAGACAGAGAG